TATAATACGATAAAGAATAATTTTGTCATTCTTAGATATAGTACACCAGTTGTGATATATTTTGTGGGTTTTGTATACATGTGATTCTCACGGAGTCTAAATGTTCATTCTTTTGTCCGTTCCAGTTTTACTTTTTTTTTTTTTTGTCAGAGTGTGTCTCTGCTTGCCAGAGACAGAGAGTGACAGAGAAATTGTAAGGAATTGCAAGGTCTGCTAATTTCCCTATAAGACTGCTCAATGGGGCATGGAGGTGCTAAAATCCCTTCTCCTCTATTTCCATTCTGTTGGGATTTGGGGCACACATGCACACACAGCTGGTGTGTTTTTCTAGCCACTAGGACCAGGTCTCAAACCATGTACTTGTCTATTTAGAATCTGGATCTCTTATTAACCACCAGATCATGGTCTAGACCCTGGTCCACTTTTAGATGAGCACAGTGTAATTAAGATGTGGCAAAGACAACTGAAGATCCTTTAAAAAACTGATTTTGTTTTGCAATTTCTAATTTACATTTAATTTTACATCTTTGTGGCATTCACTACAGTTTTTCAAAGCATGCAGTAGCGAGTCATAATCAAATGAAGGATATTACACTACTCATTATCTTCAACAAAAACATGTAATGTCATGCACCTTCAATATTCATTCTAGAAGTTTATAAATACATACCCACACATATATGCAAAACTCTTTTTTCTACTCTGTTGTGGCATACCATTCCGTAACCTATTTGCATTGTTTACATGCCATCTTGTGTCTGTTATTCATTCTTTTCTGAGTCCCTCCCTCCTCCCCATACCCAACTTCATGCAGCTTCTGGTATCTACTGTTGCCTTCCGTACGTCTAAACTTTGAGGTCTTTCTGTTTCTGCCATTGATTACAGATATTCAGTTAGCAAGGTTATCCAGAAAGGAACAACATCTTTGGTTTTTAAAAAATATCATCTAAAGGATATTTTTCTTTAGCCTAATTTAGGTTATCAAACATTATCAGAATAGACATACTATTTAAATTTTCTTTTTATCTTTTGCAGTGCATGATATATAGTCAAGACATTACAATATTTATTGAATAATACACTGTCTTATTTGTCTATCTAATTTATCGAAATGCATAATTAACAAGGTACTTTGGAGAATTTCAGAGAAGGCTTATCTTTTTAATTTTTAGAGTGTTATTTATCTTCCAAAGGTTACTCATCTTTTGCATATCCTAATCATTTGCAAGTTTGTCCCATCAACCTATTTTCTTTAAAGAATTATTTATTTTAATTTTATTTATTATGATTATTTTAAAATTTGCTGTAGGGCATGTGCACTCTCCAGAGAGAGAGAGAGAGACAGAGAGAGAGAGAGACAGCCAGATAAGCCAACAGGTCCAGGACTCAAACCTCAGTCAGCTATGTGGGAGTCCAGTACTCCAACCACCATGCCACCTGCTGGCCCATATATTTTAATCTTGTTTACAAATGGTGTTCTCTTCTTGATTATTAAAATTTAAGTCAAATTTAAATGATAATGAAAAGAAAAAATAAATAGTACTCTAAATCCTAATACTTGATAGTGACCACTAGTGATATTTTGGTATGTCTCTATCTCTCTTTTATATTTCTGCACCTATGGTTGTAGATTTGTAATTTTAATAAAAAATGCTATATCAAGTATTTTTATTCCCACACTTTTACTAACTGTATCAGTGAAAATGTTATAAGTGGCTGTGTCAGTAAGTATTCTAAATACAATTTAATTTTCAGATGCATGTTATTTTACTCTGTCATTGTCATGGATACTTAATTAATCTCTCTCACTGTGTACACTTTTTTTTTCCCTTTTTTTGCTTTATAATTTATCCTATAAAAAAGTCCTTGTAGGCCAGTGTCGGCTTTCTGATTATGTGTTTTTGTTATATATTCTCAGAAGTGGAATTGAAATCCAGGCACATATTTTGGAATATTAGCAAATTGCTCTCCAAAAATATTGTGATCGGTTATATTACTGAAAAGTTTTCAGTGTACGAATTTCCCATTTTTTGTTAAATTTATGTCTAAATAATTATTTTTGATTTTATTATAAATACAAATTTTTTTAGTTTTATTTTCATATTGTCCATTGCCAGTGTATAGAAAAACAATTTTCCATGCTCTTATTATATTCTGCAACCATGTCAAACTCATTTATTAGTTTTAATGGTTTGTTAGTGGATTCCTTTGAATGTTCTGTATATATGAATATACCATTTACAAATAGAGAAAACTTTAATTCTATTTACATTCCAGATACTCTTTAAATTTTTGCTGATTTTTATAAACTTCAATATAATATTGAAATGGATTGATGAGGGTTGGCACCATAGCCTAGTAATTAAGAAAACTGAATCCCAGATAGACGACTGCAGAGTTCTAGTCTTGGCCCTGGAGGCTTGAGAAACACGTCGAACATATGAGCATGCTTGCCCCAAATCCTGACATGATAGAGTTGTGGAGGAGAAAAGATTGCAGCATGACTATACCCCATTGAGGGGTGCTTTCTCCCTGTCTTTCTCTCTCTCTCTCTGTCTCTCTTTTGTGAGTGCATGCACACTTTGGCAATAAAAAGAAAAAAAAAGAAAAGAAAAAGATTCATCAGAGCAAACATTTTATTCCTCATCTTAAGATGAAAGTACACATATTTGGGCCAGCAGGTGGTGTGGTGGTTGAGGTGCTGGATTCTCACATGGCTGACTGTGGTTTGAGTCCAATACTTGGTGGCTTGAAAATCATGTCAGGTACATTGGCATACGTGTGCTCAAAATCCCAAGAGAAAATCCCAAGAGAAAAATGGAGGAGAAGGAGTTGCGGCATGACCATCTCACCAGGGCATAATTTCTCACTTTCCCTCTCACTGTCTCTTTCCTGTGAGCACATGTGCCCTAATGGCAGAAAAATCACAAACAAACTGCAAAACAAAAACAAAAACAAAAACAAAACAACAACAAAAACTTTAAAAAAAATTTATTTGTTTTATCTTTAAGTATGATGTTAGCAAGTTTGTTTGCTTTGTAGTTTCCCTTTATCA